TAGAGGGCAATGAGCCACATCCGACTACAGCCACCCTGGCCACGTTGTGAACAGGCCAACAGGATGGGAGACAAGGCATGCTGGGAGAAGCCCCAGGGAGGTCATGAGTACACAGAGGAGCAAACTTGGACCACAGTGGGGCAGGGACTGGCCTGAGGGTCACAGCCAGTTAGGGGCTGAGTCAGCATTGGGACCTAGGTCTGAAAGTCAGTCCCTGGCACCGCCTGGTCCCTTTGTGCTGGAACAGACTCAAGCCAAGCCTGGACAGGTGTCCCATTTCCAAAAGGACACAACTGTGAGCCTCGGGGAAGCTGAGACCCAGGTCCTAGGAGTCAACCCAGGCCTGCCACCTGTCACCAACAGTTCTTTCCTCTGACACCCACTTCCAATAGCAGGTGCTGTCCCCCCTACTTAGGAAATCCCTCTCAAATCTTTCCCCACTGTGCCTCCCACTGCCTCCCTCTCTGAAAGCCACCACCATCGGTTGCCTAGACAACCGTACCATCCTCCTCCTCCCTGTTGTCACTCCTGCCAACCTCCTCAGTCCCTTTCCCACGCGAAAACCGGAGGAAGTTCCACAAAGTAAGCCGAACTACATCACTCAAAATCCTCCCAAGGCTTCCTACTTCCCTCCGAATAGCGGCCAAACCCTTCACCACGGTACACAAAACTGCACGATCCGGTCTCTTCTTACCGCCCCGACCTCCTCTCCCACTTCCCCTCCGCCCCGCCTCGCTCACTGCGCTCCTTTACTGTCCCTCCAAACACCAGGTGCCCTGCCTGGAGCACCTCTCTCTTTCCTTTTCGCTGCCTAACTGCGACTCGCACTCGGACGTCTCCTTCTCCAGGAAGCCCTCTCTGACTAATTCGAGGATCTCTGGCTCCCCGAGGGCGGGAGCCGGATCCCCAGCGCCGTTCACGCAGCGACCCCACCTGCGCTCCCGGCTCTGCCGCCTCCGCCTGCGCCGTACTTCGTCGTCCCGGCGCCGGCGGTTTCGCCGCCCATGGCTCCCGCTCCGACTTCGGCTCCGACTCCCGCTCCGTTGCCTGCGGCCCCTGCGACCTGCCGACCGCGAGCGCGAGCGTGTATCCCGACCCATCAGCTGAGACCGTGGCGGCAGCGCTGACACAAATATCCGGGGCCTGCGCCGGGGGCCTTCCTCCTCTGCGGCGCGCGCCGGGCTGCCCCGTCCGCGCCTGAACCGGGAGAAGGAAACCCATCTCGCTGCCCCACCCCGCAGGGGCTCCGACGCCCCGTAACCTCTCCACTGCCCTCAAACGTGGCCCGTATGACGGACTCCGGCCAGGCTTTCGTCTCCAGGGCTGTGGGCTCGCCCTTTAGGCAGTGCTAGGGACAGCTCTATATGGGTCCTCGCGCCTTGGTGGGAGGGGCCTAGGGACTATGGGCGGAGCAAGACCGAACCAGGAACAGCAAGTGGGGCGGAGCCTGGGGAGGCGGGACCCAGGGGAAGTGGAGCCGGCGTGGGTGGGGCCCAGAAGGCGGGAACAGGAGGAGGCGGGGCCAAAGGGAGGTGAGCCGGTGCGGGCGCGGAAGCTGCGAGCTCAGACTCAGAGATGGTAAATCACTTTAATAAAGTCCCCCCACCCCCCAGCCCCAGCGAGGCAACATGGAGCTGGGATCTGAACTGGGTCGTGCAGCTTTGTTTTGTGGATGCTGGGGAGTCACGGGAGGGTTTTGAGCAGGGAGAGAGGGGCAAGGGCGCTGGTTGTTAGGTGGAGTCCCTGCTGGGCAGGGGGCCAGGAAGGACTACAGCAGGTAGGGCTGGAAGACCCCGAAGTCTCTGCTCCAAGCTCCCCCAGCCCACCCCAGAGGATGGTACTTCATGTTCTAGTTTAAGCTCTTCAAATGTTTATCTTAACATACAACTTCACGACCTCATCCTGAATGCTAGCTTTGCACGCTCTGCTTGGTGCCAAGGCACAGGGTGGGGCTGGTGGCACGGAGGAATTTCCGAAGACCATCTCCCACCACCCCTGATAACAAGCCAGCTCATCAGCAGATGTGGATAAAACGTGAGGGGGCTGGCCCTGTGATTGTCAAAACGCAGATGTATCTTTGAGAGTATGTGCATACTCATCTTTGGATGGGATGGTAAGCACATTCCAGATCATCTCATCTGCGAGTCTATAAATGAGCTGTGCGGTTCTGCATCATGATGAAAACGGGTTTCCAAGGGCCTGCTTACGGATGGGATCTTATTTCCAAAGCAGCGTCTCTCCAGTTGGGAATCCTGGAGAAATGCTTTCCTCTTTTTTTTTTTTTTTAAAGATTTTATTTATTTATCTGAGAGAGAGAGAATGAGAGAGAGCACATGAGAGGGGGGAGGGTCAGAGGGAGAAGCAGACTCCCTGCCGAGCAGGGAGCCCGATGCGGGACTCGATCCAGGGACTCCAGGATCATGACCTGAGCCGAAGGCAGTCGCTTAACCAACTGAGCCACCCAGGCGCCCAGAAATGCTTTCCTCTTAAAAGGGGTCCATGCATTACCCAATTTGAGCAACTCTGGCAGAACCAATACAAACTTTGGGGAGTGTTTGTTCTTTTGAGCTGGGCTGAACTGATGTCAGAAATTTTTTAAAGTTTTCTGAACTCAACTGGAACCCGAAGGAGGCCACAGCTATTAAGGCATTGGGTCCTGTTGTTATTTTAAATACAACCAAGGTTTCTTTCTGCCCTCGTTCAAAGTCAGTCCTTAAATTCCCAAGCAGACCCCGGGAACACACAGAGGCAAAGAGAAAGAGGGCTGATGCTTATTACCCGATTTTATTAGAGAGAACTCTTCAACATAAAAAGAAGGAGGGGTGGCGCGGAGGGGGGCCCGAGGCTGCATATGTTATCCAGGGCCAGCAGGTCTGCACAGTTACAGAGGTGCCCACGGCTCTGGGTTTGAGAGAGACGGCATTCTGTGCCCGATGAGGCCGCGCTCTGGATTGTCACACACCAGACCATGGGGGCTGAGCACACGGAACCCCCAGAGAGAATTAAGACACACAAGGTTTGCAGTTTCATTGTTTTGAAATCAGTTCGACCATAAAAACGACATGGGGGTGGGGTGGGGGGGACAGGCGATGCAACTGAGCCACCAGAGAAAAGGCGGTGGAAGGCGCTGGCCCAGGGCACGGACCGAGGGGCTGCAGCGACAGTACCATGGCAAGGGACCCCACCGGAAGGGGAGTATTGCACTGAGCCAAGTGGTGGAGGGAGGGGCGAGGGGAGGTTGGAGGAGGGAGGCTGGCAGGGGCTCTCGGGAAGCTGCACCTTGTCAGTCTCGGGAAATGTCTTTCATTTTCACAGCTCAGCCATCCAGACAGTGCCCAGGCTCTCGGCTCTCAGCGGCCGCAGCCATCAGAGATGAGCCACAAGGGAGACAGGGTGTCGCCATGAAGGAATTTCGATTTCTATGCTGGGGGTCGGCGACAGCTGGGTGGGCCCAGGGCCTTCCTCTGGGGGTGGGGGGGCCTCGGAAAGGCCACGAATTTGCTACACATTATAAATAAAGTCTTGCCTTCCCGCCCCTGGCCCCCCAAATAATAAGCAAACAACTCCCATCGGCACAGTCTGCAGACCACGTTAGCATCCACGTGACAGTTCTCTGAAAAGGGACAAAGAATGCAACCAACAAAAAACAGGTCTCCAAAGGGGTCTCAGCGACCTAACACAAAAATAGAAACGTCATGATATCCAGGAGGCTTGCAAATTTCTCTCGCAAGTTAGCATCCAAGCGATGCCTTTGTTCCATGATTCACTCAGGAAAGCCCGAGGGGACCAGCAGAGCTCCCCTCCTTGCTCCTAAAGCTCCAAGTGGCTGAGGATGCCCTGGACATGGGGCGCACTGCTCCAGGACTGTGCATGCTGCTCTGGCCATCCCCACAGAACTCACAACGTGCCTGAACATCCGGCCTTTGGGGGCCTGGGCAGGGACTCCAATGCCGGCTTTTGGGTGACACAGTCGTCCCTGTTAGTCTTCAAGACCTGAGATGCACCTCTTGCTCAGCTGCCACCTCCTCGGCAGGAAGGGGTAGGGACGGACTGGCGACTCATGGCATGCAGCCAGGGCACTTGCAGACAGATGCCCATCTAAAATCCAGGTGAGGACACCTCCTGCCGTCTGGACAAAGCCCTCTAGGGCAACAAGGAGAAGACATCATTTTGCTTCTGATCTGGGACACCCACAGGCTTGTTCTGATGGATCCTCTCAGTGCTGCCTTACCCGGGCTGCATGCTGGCGCGTCCCTGGCCGCCCTGGACAGACGGCAGCCAGTCCAAGAGGCTCCCTCCAGGCGCACGAAGTGAGCCGTGCGAGGGGAGATGACAGCAGGTGAGGGACCCAGATGAGGGACTCGGAAAATCAAACTCCTGGATCAGTGGGTTCTCCGCCAGGAAGGCAAGGGCTGGGAGAAATTCTTCCAGGTGTAGCTTCTGCTCCAAGCCAGCTCCTAGCTCCTCCCAAGCAAGCAAGCCAGTGGGGGGTGGGGGGCAGAGCGGGCAGGGGGAAACCATCCCCGCTGTTCCACCTCTCAAGAGGTGGGAGGGCATTTCTGTGGGGGCAGGACAGACCCTGCCATGCCAGCGGCTCCCATAGTCCCCTCTGGACCCAGTGGGGTCTCTGAGCCCGGGGGGGGGGGGCTGCTCCTGCTGAAGATGACAAACCCCCAAAATTTATTTTGTTTTCACGAAGAACTTTGTCTCCTATTCTTTAGTTGTTTACACGTCACCATCTTAAAAGAAAAAGAAAGCCCTTCCCGGTCCTGGAGGGGGATCTCTTACTGGACAGCAGAGCAGCTTGACCGTGGGAGGGCCCCTGCTCCAGGACCCGCTCTCTGGAAGTCCCACGGCCTGAGGGCCCAGCGCGTCTCCCTTCACTTAGGCCTTAGGCCCTCTCTGCGAGATACAGAGCGGGCCGCGTGGGGAGGACAGAGAGGCCCACAGTCCTGAGCTCCATGGAGAGGGGTGGCCTCCTGGCCATTCCTGCTCCCGAGTCACCTGGCAGGTGAGGTGATGGGAAACATCAGGGTGGGGGGTGGGGGAGGTGGAGAGCCGCCCCCAGACCACTGGTCGGCCATCTCCAAGGACGGATGTCCAGTGCCTGAGCCCAGAGTGCCTGCAGGCGCGGGGGCACCCCGTCCAAGTGGAGAGCGGCAGAACCTCGGAGTGTGGATCTCAGCCGGGGTGACCAGGCCATGGGGGCACAGGTCCCGGGAGCCAACAGGCCTTGTTCCCTCAGGGAGACACATGCAAGCACAGCAAAGAACTACAAAGTGCAGTGGAGTGGACTTTCTTCGTTTTTCCGACACGTCCCTTTTTTTTTTTTTTAATCTTTTTCTAAAAAAGCACACCTGTGCTGCCGTCTTTGTGCAAAGAGTAAGGACCCAAAATAAATACGTGATCGGACACTCAGGGAGGTTCACAGTCATAGGTAGTTGACAGGAGCGGCGGCGGCCGGCGGCAGACCGGGTCCGGCGGGCGGGCAGTGCCTCCGCCAAGCAGCCAGGGCGGCGGCG